AAATTGGTTCTTGTATATTTTGAGCCCATTTTATCATACAATCCTTAACCAATTCTGTTTCTGAATCCAATTCAATCAATGCATTATAAATTCTTTTAATATGAGCTTGAGATTGATCTTTAATCTGTTTCATCAAATTTACATCCTGTAAAGTAATACCAACTTTTTGGTCCAAACGCCACCTCATTAACAATTGGTTATAATAAAACCAAGAATATTCGATGTTTTCTTGTTTCAAATCTACTAAAGATTTAAGTTGCCAATCTCATCCTACCGGACAAAGTAGTTCCTTATAAGAAACTTTATCCAAATTAACTCCCCTAGATATCCCCTCTATTACCTGTCCTGGAATTGCCCAGATAGGAATTTTATAATTTAATTTATAATAATATTTCTTCCAAACTCGTAATAAAGCACTTCTTAAAATATGAACCTTACATTTTTTATCTACCTTTTTATCATAAATTAAATATGCCTGCCAACCAAATAACAAATCCCATCCTTCAAGAGAAAGTATATTTCTATTTGTTAAATTTAGCCAATCACTGGTGGCATACGGAGGGGATATGAAAAAAGCTGGGCAGTACCACAGTATCTATTGCCAAGTTTCTGGACTCATTACGGAGTTCGCCTACTCTGAGATGAACTGGATGAGACAGGTTCCTGGGAAAGGTCTGGAATGGGTTGCACAGATCTTTAGTGACTCCAGTGGAAAGTCCTACTCGGAGAAAGTGAAGGGACGCTTCACGATCACCAGGTACAATACTCAGAGGCAGCTGGGTCTGCAAATGAGCAACCTCAAAACAGAGGACTCGGGCGTCTATTATTGCACAATTCGCACAGTGAGAGGAAGCCAGGCAAAAACTGCCCATTCACAAAGCAGCTCTGCAAATTCTTTTGAAAACCTTCTTAGAATATGGTGTGTGCCTCCCTTAGTCATCTTGCTTCCCAACAGGCAGTAATCTCACACTGCTGTCAGGGTGGAGGAGAGCATGGAAATCAAACCACCGTGTCCAAATAATTGTATCTTATTTCCAAGGCAGAGCTTTTCCACCAGGCATGATTTAAAATTCATCAAATATACCTCAGGACAATATCACCTCTGAAGAGACCGCCATCTGCTCCATGAAGCTATATCTCGGTTTAAAACAGATATTTCTGGCTAACTATGTTTTCTCTCAGTTACTTAAAACCAGTTTCTTTAGGCTCTACCCAAATTAAGTTCTTTTTAGCTAATTTAATGTAAAGCCCTATATAGTACTCAAAATATATATTTAAACAGAAAAAATCTTAATCCTGACTCTCCTTAAGGGTTATCATCATTTCAAAATTACCATTATAAGGTTTTTGAAGAAGTTGATGCAAAAAAGGAGAAATGGGAGAGGAGAGGAGGGAAGGGGAGGGGAGAAGGGAGGGGAGGAGAGGGGAACAGAAGGTAGGAGGAGAGGGAAGGGGAGAAGATGGAAGGAGAGGGGACAGGAGGGGAGGCAATGGGGAGAGGAGGGAGGGGAGGGGAGGATAGGAGAGGACAGGAGAGAACAGGAGAGCCTGTCTTTATGTCTTTATATTTCTGAGCATTGAAATAGTATATGAAATATAAGGAGTGTACAAGAGAAATTATGAGGGGAGGGGAGAAGGGAGGGGTGGGGAGGGGAAGGGAGAGGAAAGTCTGTCTTTATATTTCTTAGCACTGAATTATTATATGAAATATAAGGAGTGTACAAGAGAAATTATGAGGTCACTGCAATGAGAAACCCCTTTATCTCACCCTTCAACGCAAAGTTTGGGCGCTTTCCCAAATCAATTATTTTCCCTTCATTAGAAGGAGCAAAAATGATTCTGCGGCTAATCCTGTTCTTTATATTAGTCCTTGGAGGTAATTCTTTTTGACTGATTCACTTTCTTTCCATTTTAATTCTTCAACACAGGAGAGATCACTGAAATAGCTTTCCTTTTAGGTGTCCGATCTGAGGACCAGTTGGTGGACTCCGAAGGAACTGTCAAAAGACCCGGAATCAGGAGCTGTTTTCCAACTGGAGGGGAGGAAACCAGAAAAATCAGAGCAAAGTACATAAACTAAGTAATTAAATGTGGGGAAAAAATCCTGAAAGACAGCAATGGCAAAGTGCTCACATATTCTGCTCTGGAAAAAAAAACTTTAGAATTACAAAATTGCCTTCCTTAATTAGAACTCTTCATTATTTTATTGGATTTATAGTTCAACCCTCATTTTTCATTCTTTCTTGAGATTCAGATCTTCCTCTTTCTGTCTTTGGGTTTGTGGATCTCATTATCTGTGTCTCTCTCTGTATATATATTTCTGTATATCTCTCTCCCTACACATACATACTTGAAAGTTTAAATATGTCTAAAATCATATCATTCCTCTAGCAATAGAAATATAAATATCTGATAAAATAAGGGTTCTCTAAGATTCACATTCTTTTTCCATGGTATAACTTCAAGGAAGCAAGCAGAAGCCAAAAAATAAAGCTTAAAATCTTCAAACAAAGGACAGCATAAAAGAGGTCATGTTATAATGTTTATAAGAGAGATTGGGCTTCTCAAGTCAATTTTATAGAAAGTCATATTTTAGGAAAATTTCCCCCCTCTTCTCTCCAAAAAGAATGATCCACACAGCCCTAATTCTTCTGAACTAACTCAAGAGCAGCATTGGAGCCATTCTTTATCGTGGGACCTATTTCAGTTTTCTGTGGTTCAGATTCTTCCCCTATTAGGGTATCTTTATCTCATTGGAGAATTAAGCCCTCCATCTCATCTTCACTGGTTTTACACTAAGGGCCACTGGTGGTCTGCACAATCCCACCTAATGCAGATCCGGTAGAAACAGTGTTTTCAGATGGAATGACAGTTCTGAGACTGATCAATTGCACCATTGTTGAATGAAAGGGAACTGAAATTACAGCTTTCCGTACAAAACAACACAAAGTTCACACCAGTCTTTCCTACTTTATGCTGTGCATGGACTTGAAGATACCACATGATTCCTTCTCCCTTCTCCGCTCCACAGAAGGATAAGTTAACAGTAACATGGTTTCACCCAGAAACCATGGCTTGAAAATTGTTCATGTCCTAGTACCATGTTGTTATCTAATCAATTCTAGTTTCTTGAAGAAACCATGGATAAGGAAATATTGTCCTGACTCTTATGGGAATTTTATATAATTCCAAAATAGTTTCAAAGAAAGTGGACTAGGACAGTGTCCTTTTTTATCAAAAGGCAATTAAAATAAAGGACAAATTTCTCCTCTCCTCTCCTCTCCTCTCCCCTCCCCTCCCCTCCTCTCCTCTCCTCTCCTCTCCTCTCCTCTCCTCTCCTCTCCTCTCCCTCCTCTTCTACATTCCTTCCCCTTCCCTTCTGCCCCATATCCCAACTACTCAATGATGATTGATAACTGTCTAGTGAGAACTTTAAGATTCTTTTTTTTTTAGGTCCAGTTAGAGGGGGGGGGGGTGGAAGAAAACGTACAAAATAATGAATATAGTTTGAATATTGCAGTTTCCAATATTCCAGTGTTTACAAGGTGATCTGGGTTCAGGGAAAAAAAAAAAAAACAACAACAACCCTTGAATGAAATGTAGCCCTTTGCTGTCATACTATAAGGTAGAAATAAAACTTTATGATCATCTTTATAAATAGCCAAACTGCCATACAACTATTGAGGAAACATCTGGACCTAAAGAATCTCCTTGGAGATTCCCTCCTCACTTTTGACACTGGGGGGCAATGTTGTCACATGAAACCCCAGGGCCTCTGCACCCAGTGGGGAGGTGGGGTAGGGAATAAAACAAGGGTCATTAAATATTCTCTCATTCTGGAGGCAGAACATGTTTTATGTTATTTCTGTAATAAGTTACTGAAAACATCTTATGAAAATTTCACATCTCCAGAGGGTATAATTCTCACCATGAAACTTATTTTTTTTTTGTCTATAAAATATTTTTTTTATAAAATGATATTGTCAATACTGCTAATATTGGCTATTATTGCTTTGACAAGATATGCAGAACTGTCTGGTATTTTTAGAGTTAATTCAGATAATGGGGGGGGGAGGAGAAAGATAAGGACTGAGGTGGGAAGGGAACGGAAGTGAATCTTTGCCCTCCAGGTGGATTGTAAGATGTGAATGATGATTTCAAAATAGGGGAGGGGAATAGCCTGGAATGTTATGTGCAAAGGAAGGAAATTCAGATCTTGGCATCCATCCATGCTGTGCCGACACTGTGTACATATGTTTAAAGACTTTTTTAGAATAAACAATGTCTGAAAGTTCTTTGAAGTGTTCCATTAGTCGGAACTTTGACAGATGTACTATTTTATGTTTGAAGGTACCTCAATTTTTTCCTTGAAATGCAAACAATATGTATATCATGCATATACATATACACATACATATTCATATGAGTCCTAAAACAAGATGGATATTGGGGGCCTAATTGGCAGAAGAAATCTCAGGACCGTATCGGTTGGAAACATGTGGCCTTCATCCTTCAGTGGATAAAAAATGGCTAAAATAATGATGATGAAACATACACACATATACACCTACACACTCATACACACATCTATCATCATCATCATTATGTATAAATGGTATAGGGTCTCCTGCTTGAAGACTACAAGGTCCCTTCCAATTCTGCTATTCCTGTTATAAAATCTTTCCTAAACTCAGAAGTGCTGTTCTGTTCATGTTCTATATCTAAAGTGTCTTTCTCAAAAATTCTTAGTGCATGTTCACCATTTGTATCCATGGACCAATTCTGAGAAGTGATGAACTTTTTCAAGGCTTTGGTTTAATTGCTCTAATTAAAGGATGCCTTCAGTTTTATTAAGACTGGGTAGTTATCACCCTCGTAGGGAGCGTGCAATGAAAACTATGACATAAATGCACCGAGGAGCTCTTTTATGTCAACCAATATGTAAATCAAGGCAAAATTTCCCCTTTAAAGGAGTCTGTTGGTTTTCCTTTTAAGGCTACACCCACCAACACAAAAATTGTGCATGTTCCTGAATCCTATCCTGTCAGCTCCCCTCCATTCATCAGAGGAAGCAAAAATGATGCTGTGGCTAAATTTGGTATTCTTACTTGCATCCCTCGGAGGTAATTGTTTCCCTCTACATAAAGTTTCCTTCCATCTGTTGTTTTTCTGTACAGGAGATCTCATTGAAACACTTTTTTTTTCTTTTTAGGAGTCCAGTCTCAAGTCCAGATGGTGGAGTCTGGAGGGGATGTGAGAAGACCTGGAGGGTCCCTCCGTCTCTCCTGCCAAGCCTCTGGATTCACCTTCAGCAGCCATTGGATGGATTGGGTGAGACAGGCTCCAGGGAAAGGACTGGAATGGGTGGCCCGCATAAGTAATGGCTCCCCTCCTTCCACTTACTACTCAGACAAAGTGAAGGGACGCTTCACCATCTCCAGGGACGATACCAAAAGCCAGCTGTATCTGCAAATGAACAGCCTGAAACAAGAGGACACGGCTGTCTATTACTGTGTGAGAGACACAGTGAGAGGAAGTAAATCTGAATCCAGTCAAGAACTTTATTTATCTGTGAGCAGCTCTCAAACTAAGAAAAAGCACTCATACACAGATAGGCACATAATTTGTTAAAATCATTTTTTCCCCCCAAGGACACCTTCCCTTTCTGTTGAGAATGTAGAAATTAAATAATTCTGGGTGGGTAGCTATCTATTTTTATTTTGAGATTGGAAGTAAAACAGGGATAATTCCTTCCTTTAATTCCTCTCTTTTAAATCATCCTATGATTTATTTAACTATTAAGAGAATTATTTTAGGATTTGTTCATCACCACAAGACATGGCTACAATATACCATTATAGAAATGAGCAATTCTCCTCCATGTGTTCTCAACTTCTCTTCCCCTGCTGGAACATAAGAATCTCCTATGGAATATGATGGTATCCTCTCTTCCTCATCACTTATACCATTGTCATCTCAATCATATTGGCCATGTGGGAAGAGATGGGCTGTGCACAAATGTGGTCTCCTTTTGAAGGTTGATTATATCTTCTGTTATTTGCTTAAAAGTGCTCTCAATGGATGTCAAACAAATTGAACTTCTGAAGAGATTAAAATCCTCACTGGGAAGTGTTTCTGGGTTTACAATAGATTACATAGAACAGTGATGGCGAACCTATTAGAGACTGAGTGCCCACACTGCAACCCAAAATCCACTTATGTATCGTTGGGTGCCAGGTGGGCGTAGCCAATTGGGTGGGTGTGACCCATTGGGGGGCGTGGCCCATTGGGAGAGCATGGATGCAGTGGTAATGGCTGACTGGGTGAGACTAAAAAGTTCAACCAATCAATTCCAACATTGTGAGATCTTTTTTTTCCTGCGAGAAGTTGAAATTGATTGATTGATTGAATCTTTTTTTTTGTTTGCACATGGCGGTGGAGGCCTAAAGCAAAAAGGTTTTATAACACCCAGCTGAAGGCCTAGGGTAAGGGAAAGGGAAGGGGAAAGGGAAGGGGAAAGGGAAAGGGAAAGGGAAAGGGAAAGGGAAAGGGAAAGGGAAAGGAAAGGAAAGGAAAGGGAAGGGAAGGGAAGGGAAGGGAAGGGAAGGGAAGGAAAGGCTCTTTTCAGTTTTCATAAGACTGGAAAGTTAGGTGAAAATCATGCTTATAACATGTATGCAAAGAAAGCTATGAGACCAATGCACTGAGAGGCCCTTTTATAGAAAGCAATAGAGTTTCCTTCCATTTACTCTTCTTGTATACAGGAGATTTTACTCAAGCCCCTTTTTTTTCCATGGGTCTTGTCTGAGGTCCCCTTGGTGGGGTCTGAAGGGCTTATGAGGAGGCCTAGGGTGCCTCTCAATTAGCTTCCCCATCTTTTATATGAAATGGCTGAGAGAGGCACCTGACAAAGCGCTGCAATAAATGGCATAAATCAAGGTTCCTATATTATTTAATACATGGGTAAATGGAAGGGATGTTTCACCATCTCTGAAAACAAATTATATTAGCGAATGAACAACTGGAAACCAGAGAATAAATTTATAACTTAGTATTACTTGAAAATCACAGGGGTAAGGTTTATCCAAAGAAATCTATAAGCAAGTGCCCTGAGGGGCTCTTTTATCCCAAGCAATATGTAAATTGAGGCACAATTTCCTCTTTAAAGGTCATGGTTTCCCTTTTCAGGCAACACCCACCAAAACAAAGTTTGTGCATCAACCAGAATCCTTTCCTATCTATTATACTCCATTCATTTGAGGGAGCAAAAATGATCCTGTGGCTAAACCTGGTGTCCTTACTAGCACTCCTCAGAGGTATTTCTCCCTCTGTATAAAGCTTTTTTTCCATTTTAGTTCTTGTGTACAGGAGAGCTCACTGAAACTCCTTTCCTTTTAGGTGTCCGATCTGAGGTTCTGTTGGTGGAGTCTGGAGGGGACGTGAGAAGACCTGGAGGGTCCCTCCGTCTCACCTGCCAAGCCTCTGGATTCACCTTCAGCAGCTATGTTATGAGCTGGGTGAGACAGGCTCCAGGGAGAGGCCTGGAATGGGTGGCCTTTATACATACAAGGTCCTCTCCCATTTACTACTCAGACAAAGTGAAGGGCCGCTTCACCATCTCCAGGGACGATGCCAAAAGCCAGCTGTATCTGCAAATGAACAGCCTTAAAGCTGAAGACACGGCAGTCTATTACTGTATGGGATACACAGTGAGAGGAAGTGAATCTGAAGCAAAGCAAAAACTGCCCATTTCCCATAGCAGCTCTGAGAATTTCTTTGAAACCTTAGAATTCTAACAATGTGTGTGTGCCTCCCTTGGTCATCTCACCCACAAGGGGACACTATCCTCACACTGATGTTGGGTTGGGGCAGAATATGGAAATTAAACCACTGCGTACAAACAATCTATCACTGCCCAGGCAGAACTTTTCCATCTGATATGCTTAGAAAATTCACCAAATTGGTCTCATGGGAATGTCACTTCTCAAGAGACCACAATTTCCTCCGTAAAGCCATGTCTGAGTTCAGACCAGAATGTGCCTTGCTAACTCTAGATGTCTGAAATCTTTGCCAAGCAGAAAATGTCATATTCATTCTTGGACTGAGTGTACAATATGACATTATGATATGATTGCTTCGATTATTTCCTTGCAACTTGGTGGGAAGCTGAATTCTGTGCCTTACAAATTGTATTTTACACCCTAGTGTGTATGCAGTTAATATCAGCTCCTTTAAAACAAAACCTTGTTAAAGAAACAAAGGTTCCTGAACTGAAATATACTATATTTTTAAGCTCTGTCTCTAACATCTCTGTTAAAAAAATATCTTAGTCCATGCTTTGTCTACTGCTCAAGACTACTTTCCTGAGACACAACCCCTCTGGATTCACCTTCAGCAACCATTGGATGGCATGGATGAGACAGGCACCAGGGAAAGGACTGGAATGGGTTACTATATCTGGCAGTTACTACTCAGACCAAGTGAAGGGATTCTTCACCATCTCCAGGGACAATGCCAAAAGCCATCTGTATCTGCAAATGAACAGCCTCAAAGCTTAAGACAGGGCTGTCCATTACTGTGCGAAAGAGACCCAGTGAGAGGAATTGAATCTGAACCTAAACAAAAACCTGCCATTCATCAGAGCAGCCCTGCAAGTCCATTCAGCCCCACAAGGCTGCATTTTTCAATGTGGGGAACCTGAGAAAGTGCCTGATTGTCAGGAGGAAGAAAGAGATGATCTTGATATCTGCAGTTTGGAAGCTGTTTTCCAATTGGAGGGGAGGAAACCAAAAAAAATCTCAGTAAAGGAAATAAACTGAGTAATTAAAAAGGGGGAAAAAATCTCCTGAAAGACAGCAATGGCAAAGTGCTCACAAGTTCTGCTCTAGGAAAATATTTAGAAAAATAAAATTTTCTTCCTTATTTAGAACTCTTTATTCTTTTATTGGATTTGTTTCGGTGTCAGATTGCCTTTTTATAAAGTGATCTGGGTTCAGGGGAAAAAAACAAACAAACCTTGAATGAAATGTAGCCCTTTACTGTCAAACCGTAAGGCAGAAATGAAACTTTATGATCCTTTTTCTAAACATCCAAACTGCCAAACAAAAAATAAGAAAAAAATTGGACATAAAGAATCTCCTTGGAGAATTAGGAAGATGCCTCCCCTCCTCACTTTTGACACTGGGGGGGCAATGTTGTCACATGAAACCCCATGGCCTCTGGATCTTGTGGGTGTGGGGTAGGGAATACAGTAAAACAATTGTCATCAGATATTCTCTCATTGTGGAGCATGACTATTTTTTATGTTATTTCCATAATAAGTTACTGAAAACATCTTATGAAAAATTTACGTTGCAGGAGGGGATAATTCTCATCATGAAGTTTAATGTATTTTCTATAAAACATTTTTTTATATATAAAAGGATGTACTTATGTTTGAAGTTACTTCATTTTTTTCCTTGATATGAAAACAACATGTATATCATGCATGTACATGTACATACACATGCATACACATACATATATGACCTAAAACAAAATGGATCGATGACATCAGCAAGTATTGCGGTCCCAATTGGCAAAAGAAAGCTCAGGAATGTATCGATTGGAAATGTGTGGAAGAGGCCTTCATCCTGCACTGGCTAAACTGATGATGATACACACACACACACACACACACACACACACACACACACACACACACACACATGAATATATTATATCATCATCATTTTATGTATCATATTTACCATATGTATAAATGGTAGTGTATAGTGTCTCCTGCTTGAGCAAAAGATTGGACTAGAACACTCCAAGATGCCTTCCAACTCTTGTTATTCTGTTATTCCTGCTATAAAATAATTACTAAACTCAGAAGTGCTGTCCTGTTCATGTTGTATATCTAAAGTGTCTTTCTCAAAAATCCTTAGTGAATGTTTATCATCTGTAACCTTGAATCAGTTCTGAGAAGTGGTGAACTTTTTCAAGGCTTTGATTTAATTGCTCTAATTAAAGGATGTCTTCAGTTTTGTCAAGACTGGAGAGTTATTTATAGATCACCCATGTGGGGAGCGTGCAATGAAAACTAGGAGAGAAATGCACTGAGGAGTTATTTTATCTCAACCAATATGTAAATTGGACCACTATTTCTCCTTTAAAGGAGTCAGCTGGTTTTACTTTTAAGGCTACACCCACCAACACAAAGTTTGTGCCTCCTCCAGAATCCTTTCCTATCCATTACCCTCCATTCATTTGAGGGAGCAAAAATGATCCTGTGGCTAAACTTGGTGTCCTTTCTAGCACTCCTAAGAGGTATTTCTGTCCTCTGTATTCAGCTTTTTCCATTTTAGTTCTTGTGTACTGTAGAACTCATTCAAACTCCTTTCACTCAGGTGTTCAATCTGAGGTCCTGTTGGTGGAGTCTGGAGGGGATGTGAGAAGACCTGGAGAGTCCCTCCATCTCTGCTGCCAAGCCTCTGGATTTACCTTCAGGAGCTATTGGATGCACTGGGTGAGACAGTCTCCAGGGGAAGGACCAGAATGGGTGGCCGGCATAACTAATGACTCACCTCCTTCCACTTACTACTCAGACAAAGTGAAGGGCCGCTTCACCACCACCAGGGACAATACCA